CAGCACATATACATATGTGTGTATATACATATATATATATATGTATAAATACACATACTTACATACATATATACATACATACATACATACATACATACATACATACATACATACATACGTAGACACATACACGCATAGATACGCACATAAATACATGCATGCGTACATACATGTATGCATTTACACGTACACATACAGTACATGTATACACATACATATATTCATAGACACCTGCATACACACAAATCTACATGCATATAAGCATAATCATTTACACCTACATATACTCACAAGCATACATACATACATACATACATACATACATGCATGCATGCATGCATGCATGCATGCGCACATGCATACATGCATAAAAACATGCACATATGCATACCTGCATACATTACACTACATTACATGACCGTACATTACATGACACTACATTACATTACGTTACATTACATTACAGCACAAAACATACATGGCATTACATTACCCTACACTACACAACACTACATTACATTATCATTACATACATGACACTGCAGTGCAGTACATTACATACATACATGCGGATATACATGCATGCATACGCATACATACATGCACACATCCGCCATACATTAAAAACGCATACGTACGTACATACATACATACATACATGCATACATACATGTACACAATACACATACATACAGAGATTTATGCTTCAAAAACAAGGAATTAGGGCCTCCGGTATAAAAAAAAATCCTTCGAAATTCGAGTGTGTTGGGGGGGGAAACCCTGAACCCTAAACCCTAAACCCTGAATCCTAAACCCTAAACCCTAAACCCTGAACCCTAAGGTCCATTGCGTCCCGTAAGCTGCCGCACTGCCATCTGGCCGTAGTAAAACCACGTGGGAGCGGCCGCCACGCACCTGCTTCTTCAACTCACTATAGGGGCCAGGGTTGAGGGTTTCATAATTAGCATAGGGTTTTGGGCCAGGGTTGAGGGTTTAAGGGCTTTAATAATTAGCATAGGATTCTGGGGCCAATTATACTATAACTACAATAAGGAGCCCCCCCAGAGTGTAGGTAATTATTTAGGCCCCTATATTAGGTGTGCTTCGCCCCCATTAAGGAGCATGACAGCAAGACCATGGTCAGTAGCTGCTAAGCATGAAATGAACTGCGGCTCTCATGGTTCCTCCTCGATATTGCCGCAAAGCACGCCAGTACGCCCAGAGGCTATTCTTTGCATATCTCACAAAGATGTACGACTTATATGCTAGAAGGGTTCCGGGCACTGGGCTTGGAGGTTTGGGCTCAGGTTTGAGGTGAAAGCCTCGAAAGACACCGACGGCTCATGCAATTCTGGGTTGGCATTTAAGCCCTCTGAAACATATCCATAGAAAGGGCCCCTTATTCACCCAAATAAGGAAGATTAAAAAAAGTCCCAACACCAAAGCTAGGATTGAAGGCTTGTTGGCTGAAACCGCCGTTCCGGAGAGACGACCCTCAACCCGGAGGCCCAAACTCAAACCCTCACATGTAAAAAACACAAGTCAGAAGAGCCCGAAAGAAGCCAGCGCCAAAGACCCCAACCCAAATCACGAAACCCTAAACCGAAACACCTAAGGCCAAAACCCTGGGACTCACATCCAAAGCCCAATACCAGTACCCTAGGGCCTTCGCGGCCCTCTCCTCCAAAATTTCCGGCCTACGTCTGGGAAGTTTAGAAATCGCAGTTTTGAATGTTGGGATTTTGGGTGCTTGGGCCTGAAGTCTAAATCAACCCCAAGACTTAAGATCCATTAAACCCCAAGCCCTATAGTAAACCCCCAAAAAGTTGGAAACCGGATGAA